AGTCGTCGTAGCTCCACTAGCCGTCGTGGCGGAGCACGAGAATCTCTGCGCGTTTGACCTGGCGGGCGCCAGGCGCGAGCGCTGCGCTGCCAGGTGCGTCGACGTAGATGCCGGGGCCCCACTCCAAGGAGATCTCGGTCGCCATGCGGGGCCCCTGCAGCACCGCGCGCCGCGCGTGCGCGCGGGGGTCGCACTCGCACTCGAGCTCCACGGACCGGCCCGCCCATCTGTTCCGGGCCTCGCGGAGCCACTGGTCGAGAAGAGCGCCAGCGGGAAGACCAGTGCGGAGAGCGCCGCGGGCCCGCAGGAAAACGCTTCGGAGTCGTGGAACCGCAGCGTCGAGAACGGCAATGAGCTCCTCGAGTAGGGCCACGTTGGTGACACTGCCAAGGCCCGCGCTAACCACCATGGCCACGAAGCTCTTGTCGTCCCGGAAGGGCCGCGCCGAGTGGGCGTCCAGGCTGTGGCGAACCGCTGTTACCTGGAGGTCCCAACTGGTCACAAAACGCGGGGGGTGGCCGACCCCCCGCGCTTTGCGTCCAGTTGCCCGGATAGACGCATGGAAACAACAGCAAACATCAATATGAAACACGAGTTTTCCAGTATTCTAACATTGAGACAACGGGACGTTAACATTTTTTTGGCGCGGCGCTTGATTGTCGCGGCGGCGGGTTAAGCTGAGTCGCGCCGCCCGCATGTTTTTCTTGCGTTGTCCATGCGCTCGGGCGCCCTGGGCATTCATTTCTTGCTGATCGCGCTCGGGGCCCCCGATATCCAGCGCGAGCGGGCTCGCTCGCTGGCGGCCCCGCGCAAAGGCCGCGTTGGATTGTTTCCGCGGCGGGGCCTCAGAAGACCCTCAGGCCCGCTGGGCGCGACGGGGCGGCGGGGGGGGGCGAAGCCCCGGTGATCTCGGTTGCTCGCGGTTCTTGGCCTCCTCGTGGCGCCGGGGCGGCGGTAGCGGGGCGAAGCCCTGATCTCGGTTGTTCGCGACCCTTGGCCCCCTCGTGGCGTCGGGGCGGCGGGGGGGGGCGAAGCCCTCGTGATCTCGATTGCTCGTGGCCCTTGGCCCCCTCGTGGCGTCGGGGCGGCTGGGGGGGGCCGAAGTCCCGGCGATCTCGGTTGTTCGCGGCCCTTGGGCCCTCGTGGCGTCGGGGCGACGGGCGAAGCCGTGGCGGTCTGTTGTTCGCGGCCCGTGGCCCCCTCGCGGCTCTGGGGCGGCGGGGAGAGGGGGGGGGGGGGGGCGAAACCGTGATGATCTCGGTTGCTCGCGGTTCTTGGCCTCCTCGTGGTGTCGGGGCGGCGGTGGCGGGGCGAAGCCCTGATCTCGGTTGTTCGCGACCCTTGGCCCCCTCGTGGCATCGGGGCGGCGAGGGGGGCGAAGCCCCGATGATCTTGGTTGCTCGCGGCCCGGGCCCCCTCGGGGCGTCGGGGCGGCGGGGGGGGGGGGGCGAAACCCCGAAGATTTCGGTCGTTCGCGGCCCGCGGCCCCATCGGGGAGGCGGGGATTGCGAAGCCCTGTTCCTCCTCTTCCTCCTTTTCCTCTTCCTCCTCTCCTCCCCCTCCTCCTTGTGCTCCTCCTGGTCCTTTTCCTCATCTTCCCCCGCTGTCCTCGTCATCCTCTTCCCCCGCCTCGTCCTTATCATCCTGCTCCTCCTCCTGCAGCCCCTCTCCTCTGCCTCCCACCTCCGTTCCCCTTGCCCCTTCCCCCGGGTATGTTTCTCAGTTCCTGGGGTCCTGGGCCCGACCCCATGCGCGGCGGCCCCCGGGGATGGGTGGGTGGGTGGGGGGGGGGGGAGCGGCGGAGAGAGCTGGAACTGTTTGGACCATGCGCTTGGTTTGGCGCGCCCTGTGGTTGCGCGCTTCCTTTGTTGCATCGTCGAAGACGAAGATGGCGGGCGTCGATATATATATATATATATATAATATATATATTATATATATATATATATATATATATATATATATAAGGGGGGGGGCGCGCGTAGAGCGGCGCGTGCGCGCGCGGGTATGCAGTCTGAAATCCCACCAGCCCTTCTAGGCGACAGGTGGTCCTGTGGTGTTGGGTCCTCGTTTTGAAGAAACGGTCCCCGCGTCTCCTCTCCTCCTCTCCTCCTCCTCCTCCTCTCCTCCTCCTCCTCCTCCTCCCCCTCTTCCCTGCGTTTCACCCACCCAGTACAGCGCTTCGTAGCTCCATAGGGAGCTCCGCCGAAGGCCCCAGTGCTGCCGCCCGCATGCGTCACCCACACCCAATTCGGCACACCCCTCACACGTTTCGTGGCCCCATAGGAGCTCCGCCGAAGGCCCCAGTGCTGCCGCCCGCATGCGTCACCCACACCCAATTCGGCACACCCCTCACACGCTTCGTGGCCCCATAGGAGCTCCGCCGAAGGCCCCAGTGCTGCCGCCCGCATGCGTCACCCACACCCAATTCGGCACACCCCTCACACGTTTCGTGGCCCCATAGGGAGCTCCACCGAAGGCCCCAGTGCTGCCGCCCGCATGCGTCACCCACACCCAATTCGGCACACCCCTCACACGTTTCGTGGCCCCATAGGAGCTCCGCCGAAGGCCCCAGTGCCATGCGTCACCCGCCGCCCGTCATGCACCACATCGGCTCCCCTCACACACGTTTCGTGGCCCCATAGGGAGCTCCACCGAAGGCCCCAGTGCTGCCGCCCGCATGCACACCCAATTCGGCACACCCCTCACACGTTTCGTGGCCCCATAGGGAGCTCCGCCGAAGGCCCCAGTGCTGCCGCCCGCATGCGTCACCCACACCCAAGTTCGGCACACCCCTCACACGCTTCGTGGCCCCATAGGAGCTCCGCCGAAGGCCCCAGTGCTGCCGCCCGCATGCGTCACCCACACCCAATTCGGCACACCCCTCACACGTTTCGTGGCCCCATAGGAGCTCCGCCGAAGGGCCCCAGTGCTGCCGCCCGCATGCGTCACCCACACCCAATTCGGCACACCCCTCACACGTTTCGTGGCCCCATAGGAGCTCCGCCGAAGGCCCCAGTGCTGCCGCCCGCATGCGTCACCCACACCCAATTCGGCACACCCCTCACACGTTCGTGGCCCATAGGAGCTCCGCCGAAGGCCCCAGTGCTGCCGCCCGCATGCGTCACGCACACCCAATTCGGCACACCCCTCACACGTTTCGTGGCCCCATAGGGAGCTCCACCGAAGGCCCATGGCGGCGCTCGCACATGCGCATGCGTCCCGCACACCCATTTCGGCACATCCGTCACAGGTTTCGTGGCCCCATCATCCACCGGAGGCCCCAGTGGCGGCGCTCACATGCGTCGCCCACACCCACCCAATTCGGCACACCCCTCACACGTTCCGTGGCCCCATAGGGAACTCCACCGAAAGCCCCAGCGGCCGCGCTCACACGCGTCCCCGCCACCCATCCCGGCACGCCCCTCACAACAACAGGTTTCGTGGCCCCATAGGGAGCTCCACCGAAGGCCCCAGTGGCACCGCCCGCATGCGTCACCACCCGCACCCAATTCGGCACACCCCTCACACGTTTCGTGGCCTCATAAGGAGCTGCACCGAAGGCCCCAGCGGCGGCATGAGTCCCCGCCACACATCCCAGTACACCCCTCACGCGCTTCGTGGCCCCATAGGAAGCTCCACCGAAGGCCCCAGTAGCGGCGCTTACATGCGTCACGCCTGCTATGCCCTGCGCCATGGCCCGCATGGGCGCCGCGCTCGGGGACCACCCTCTGCGCACCCCCTTATGGTGTCGAGAAAATGCCACACCTGCTATGCCCTGCGCCATGGCCCGCATAGACGCCGCGCTCGGGGACCGTGCCACGCCTGTGATGTGCTGTGCTGCGGTGTGTTCTACTGTGCTGTGCTGTGCTGTGCTGTGCTGTGCTGTGCTGTGCTGTGCTGTGTTGTATGTGTGTTTGAGGTGTGCTGTGTGTGCTTGTATGTGTGTATGTGTATGTGTGTATGTGTGTATGTGTGTGCTGTCTGCGCTGTGCGTGTGTATGTGTGTATTTGTGTATGTGTGTATGTGTGTATGTGTGTATGTGTGCATGTGTATGTGTGTGCTGTGCTGTGCTGTGCTGTGCTATGCTGCGCTGTGCTGTGCTGAGGGTGAGGGAGGAAGGAGGGGGAGGGGGAGGGGGAGGAGGAGGAGGAGGAGGAGGAGGAGGAGGAGGAGGAGCCGGAGGGGAGGTGAGAGGAAGAAGACGCGGGTGCGACGCGGGAGGGAAGAAAACCAGAACCCCACCAAGCATGTGGGGAAAAAATCTCAGAAGGCCGGAGGCCTTCTGAGAAGCCCCGCCGCCTCCTAAGAAGGCCTTCTCCTTCTCAGTTTCCCCCCTCGCTCGCCGCCGACTATGCCTATCACCCCCTATCGTTGCCCCTGAGAGGGGGCAACGGGGGGAAGCGGCGGGCCAAGAGCTGTCAAGCCACACTTCGCCAAAAGGAGCTCTCGAGCCACGTCTCGCCGCACGGGCCTGGGGGACTTTTTTGTAAGGGCGAAGAGCGGTGTTAAATAAACTGGTTCGCCGTCGGGGGCGCCTGTCCAAGGGCGGCTGGAAGGTTTATACTTCGACGGTGGCACGCCAGGGTGTAAACTTTCCAACCGCCCTGGGACAGGCGACCCCAGTGACGGTCGAAAGTATGTTATACTGTTCTTCGCCCGCTACCCGTCGGTCGGAAGAAGTATGGTGTTAGAAACATGAAAAAAACAAGGCGTTGGAAGCAGGTTGGATCTCCGCCGGTCCCCTGAAGAGGACCGAAATGGTGAACTCGATCCTTGAAGCAGGAAGGCGCCCAAGGCAGATTGGGATCTGGGTATCCCGGAAGAGCTGCCTCCTCCTCCTCCTCCTCCTCCTCCTCCTCCTCCTCCTCCTCCCCCTGCCCCTCCTCCTCCTCCTCCTCCTTCAACGACCGGCGTGCGTTTTTTGTTCCTCGAGGGCAGCGGCGCCCGGGCCTCCCGGCCCCTCCTCCCTGCCCCATCGTGCCGGGGACGGCGTGCCTCAGACCTCCGCCGCCTCCGCCGTCAGTCCCGCCGACCCCACGCTCCGAGCGGGGTGCGCCAGAGGGCGGGCCTCGGGCCTCTGGCCTCTGCCGCCCAGGCCTAGGCCGGCGGCGGGCGGGTGGGGTTGTAGCTCGGGATCGGGTTGTACAGGCTCTCCCCCTCCTGAGGGCCGCACGCAGGGGTGACCTTCGGGGCAGGAGGTGGCCTTCGGTGCGCGGCGTTCGGGGAGCCGCGGAGGGGCCCCAAGCGCCAGCGCGCAAGACGCAACCATCGCATCGCGTTCGGTGATGTGGGGACCCCCCTCTCTGGGACCCGCACCACAGGCCACTCTGGCGAGAAGGTCACTCTTACGTCTAGCCGACCCTCCTGAAGGCCACGGTGAACCGGGTCCACGCGATGCGCCTTGGCCGCCCCCTCGGTGGGAGCAGCGGCCGCCCGCGCCCTGGATATGTAGTTGACGAGCACCTCGACCTCCTGGTCGTGAGTGAGGCCCTCGTCCCAGGTGTGCCAGAACGACTGCCAGCTCCTGGCGTTGCTGGGGATCACCTAAGGCGAAACCGAGACGAGGATAAGTTCAAGTGAGAATAAATCGGGAATCTCTGATAAATCCGGCGGCTCTGGAGGATGTCTCCGGCGCCGCTGCATTCTCGAAGAAATCCAGAACGCTCTGAGAGCGTTCCAGAACGCGGGACGCTCTGGAACGGATTTATCCTAGTCCTAGCCCCGTCCGATCACCGCCAACCGTGGCGGGGGAGCCGCCTTGACAGTTCCGGGAACGGGGATGTTGCGCGCGGTGAAATAAGCAGGGTTGACGAACACATGGTCGCGGTACTCGTAACTCGGCGTGGGGTCGTCGTTCAAATACGCGTCCAGTCCACCAATATAATTAAAGCCTGCGCTCTGGAAGATCGCCCAGATTTCGTCCGTGGTGTCGGCTTTGGTCCTGGGCTGAACCCACGACGAGTCGCCAAGGCCAGAACCACGACCGTCATAACTAACGAGGACGACACCGAACTCAATGTTGCTTCCTGAATGAAGCAGAGTTTCATTGAGGACCTCCGCCTCATAATTACCAGTCTTCAGGTTCCAGAAATCAACCGTCGAGAGTCCTCCCATTTCGGCCAGGAAGCTGTTGATGGGGTAGGCGTGGATCCGGTGGCCGCTGTTCTCGTCGATGTTGCCGTACCAATCGAAGCCGATCTTCGTGGCGTTTTCGTGTGGAGACATGCACCCGAGAAATATCCACGCCTTTCTCATCTTGCCCCACAAGCTGGCATAGGTGTACAACATAGGCTCCGTGATGAGGCCGCGCCAGCCAGTGAGCTCAAGCAGTAGCGTGTTGCTCGGCCTCTCACCATCCCCGCCGTTGGTGTCTAGGTAGAAGCCGTTGGTGATGTTCTCGAGCACCTGCGTGAGGATCTTGACGTCCTGCCGGGCGCTGCTGAAGGACTGGAGGTTGCCCCCGGCCTCCAGGCTGTACTCGATGCCTGACTTGGGAAAGTCCAGCGTCGGCATGCCCGAGTACTGGAAGACCGGATAGCTGCTCCCTGTCTGGGGCGAGCCGATGCCCCAGGGCAGACCTGCGCCCTGGCCCTGCCTCTGCCTCTGCTCCCCGCCAGAGCTCTGGAATTCTTCCGATGGCATGAAGTCCCCGCCGATCGAGACGACCTCGCTCGACTTCAGGGTCATGAGGAGCAGGGGGCTCTTCGACGACGCGTTCTCGATCCCGCGGAAGTACTGCAGTGCCTGGGCCGACATCAACCTGGTGCTGTGGGCCGCCTCACGACTGTGGGCGCCGGCGGTCTTTGGGCCGAGCTCGGTCTGCAGCTCAAGCTTGAGCTCCGGCTTGAAGCCGATGCCCAGCGTCAGAGGGGAGTACAGCGTCAGCAGCCAGAGCGCGGCCGCCGCGCGCGTGAAGGGAATGTCTGTGCGATGTGTCATGGGATCCTTTCTATGTGCGGAGCCCAGCTCGGACCCTCGACCCGGAACTCAAGAGAATTTGATCAGAAATGGCTAACGTCAGCCCCTCCTGCCCTCCCGCTTCCAGGTCGAAAGGTGGCTCGTGGACTTCTGAGCTTCATTTCGACACACACCTATCTGACTCTCTCTTTCTCTCTCTCTCTCTCTCTCCATCTCTCTCTTTTTGTTTTCTCTCTTTCTCTCTCTCTCTCTCTCTCTCTCCTGGCTCAGTAACATGACCCTCCTCCGACATATCCGATATAAGAAGAGGAAAAGGAGGAGCAGGAGGGGCGGGAGGCTGGATGAGCCTGGCACTTGTTTTGTGTTTAGGCGATGTGTAAGCTCTCGATCGACAACTCCAGGTATAGTCCTTTCAGAAATACAACCCTGAAAACATCCTGCTAGAGCTACAATAGGACTGCAATACATACTCCAAATCCGCCGACCCTGTCGGCGTGTGTGAGGGGCTTTTCCGTTCGAGCCGTCATCTCCGTCATTCTTTGTACTCGTCGTCTCTGTCCTTCCCTTTCCCTGGGACTCCTCTTCCCCTGGGCTCCAGCCAAGCCGACCTTGAGCAACCTCGTAATTGAGTCGAAGGGAAGCCCCTTCCCTTTGATCCCTCCCCCGCCGGGAGGGGGGGGGGGTAGCGACCCCCCCCCCCCGGGTCAGATACGACGCCCCCCCCTGGGACTCCTCTTCCCCTGGGCTCCAGCCAAGCCGACCTTGAGCAACCTCGTAATTGAGTCGAAGGGAAGCCCCTTCCCTTTGATCCCTCCCCCGCCGGGAGGGGGGGGGGGGGTAGCGACCCCCCCCCCGGGTCAGATACGACGCCCCCCCCTGGGACTCCTCTTCCCCTGGGCTCCAGCCAAGCCGACCTTGAGCAACCTCGTAATTGAGTCGAAGGGAAGCCCCTTCCCTTTGCTCCCTCCCCCGCCGGGAGGGGGGGGGGGGTAGCGACCCCCCCCCCGGGTCAGATACGACGCCCCCCCCTGGGACTCCTCTTCCCCTGGGCTCCAGCCAAGCCGACCTTGAGCAACCTCGCCAAGCCGACCTTGAGCAACCTCGTAATTGAGTCGAAGGGAAGCCCCTTCCCTTTGATCCCTCCCCCGCCGGGAGGCGAGGGGGGGGTAGCGGGGGGCGGTAGCGACCCCCCCCCCAGGTCAGATACGACGCCCCCCCCCCGTACCGACCTTGAGCAACGTCGTAATTGAGTCGAAGGGAAGCCCCTTCCCTTTCCCTTCCCCGCCGGGGGAGGGAGAGGGGGTCCCGGGGGGGGTCCCGGGGGAGTCCCGGGGAAGTCCCGGGTCAGATACGACACCTCCCTCCCCCACCTTCTCGTCCTTCTCCCCGTTCCCCAAAACCATCCCACAGCCCGTGCCTCTTGCTGCGCATTGCGAACAGGGTCGGCGGCACCGGCCGTCAGGCCTTCGCAATATACCTGCGACAGAGATAGATGCTTGCTATAAACACAACTCGAGTATCATCTTGGAGAGGTCCTGATCAAAGAAGTCTTCTCAAAACAAACCCTGACTAAGAAGACCTTACTATCGAATAGCTATACAGCAAAAACAGAAAGAGAAGGACCGCACACTGAAATAATACTAATGTGAGCCAGCGTGGACCCAAAACAATACGTCATTGCTCAGTATTGCGTAGTAGAGTTGAAAGCAATGCGATGTGGGCTATATGGTGCAAACAATGTTGTGTATGCTATTCGATGCGATCTGTCGAGGCGGAAACTATGCGGTGCAAGCGAGGTGGTGTTAGCTATGTCGTGTAAGCCAGGCGGTGCGACTGGAGGCGAAAGCCATGGGGTACAAGCTATGCGATGCAACGTCTGCTATGCAACATCCGTTGTGCAAGCTGTGCGGTGTGACCAGCGTTGTGCAGGCTACGCGGTGCAAGCTGTGTCGTGTAAGCTCAGACCACGGGGCGCCCACGAGGCACCCACGAGGCGGCGGGCGGCCACGTGGTGCAAACTCGGCATGTCCGTCCAGCGCGTCGGGCGCCCGCGAGGTGCTCACGTGGCGGCACGGGCGGCCACGCGGCGCAACCTCGGCATACCCCCCAAGCGCGGGGCGCCCACGCGGCGCCCAAGAGGCGGCACGTGCGGCAACGTGGCGCAACCTCGGCATGCCCCCTAAGCGTGAGGCGCCCAGAAGGCGCCTACGAAGCAACGCGGGCGGCAACGTGGCAAAACCCGGAATATTCAAAAGCAGACTGCAGACGGGGAAAGCACCCTACATGCAAGCACTGTTGGGGAAAATGGGCTCCTTCCCAGAAGGAGCCCTTTTATCAAGAACCCTCACTCCAGAGTCCTTGCTGAAGGAACCCGTGCCGAAAAGGGATCTTCACAAATGAACTAATTCCGACAGTATTCAAGAAGTCAATTCCACCGCTCGTGCGAACATCCCGCCCACCCACCCACCCGAAACCATTTAGCAAAACCAAACTGGTCGGCGACAACGACGATGACGATTACGTTGGTGGTGTTGATGGCGGCGGTGAGGACGATGCCAACGGCGACGATGGTGATGGTGATGAACCTGGTGACGGTGAAGCTGTAAAACGAAAGGATGAGGCAGAACCACGTGCACATCGTGATACGAAAAAGCGAACTCATGAGTCTGGGCTCGGGAGCGCGGTGGGGACTATTACTTTCGTATGAAGTGCCACTTGTCACCTGCTTTGCAAATATTCTACACTCCCCCCCCCCGAGCCCAGACTTGTCAGCCCCATCGTCGAATTGAATTTTACATACTATCCCAAGTAATCCGGGTATCGGCCCCCACCTTCTTCCTTGTCATGTACTACAATGCGGTGAACATGCGCTCATGTAAGAAATTATTGTGTTCATACTCCGCTGTCAAAACGCACACGCACACAGGGAGCAGATGCGCGCGCCGCCGCCGCGAGCGCACTTTAAACTTCGACATAATCCATCTTGGTAGTTTCAACAATTTCAGATCATGGCTGGTCGCGCTTTACCAAGGCGGCTGACTTGTCTTAACAAGTGGCAGGAACTTTGTGCGCGCACTGGCTGAACCATTGAAAACCATATTCTCCAAGGCTTGCCTACAGGAGACCTAGCTCCATCCATGGAGAAGTGGTCCACTGCTCCCCCCCTATTTTGCCCCAAACGGTTGCAATGGCTTTCCACCTAGTTTCCCCATAAATGGTTGCGATGGCTTCTCCTGGTATTGCTATGGCTTCCTCTGCTGTTGCACTGGCTTCCTCTGATACAGCAATGGCTTCCTGTGGCTATTCCAATGACGTCCCGACAGTGGCCCAAGAACCGTCTAACTAAGACACACATATTAGAGTAAGTAGCGTAGGGTAGAGCAGGGTGTAATACAGTAGAGAAGAGAAGATGAGTAGAGTAGAGTAGTAAGAGTAATATGAGCAGAGGAGGGTTGATGATAGTAGTCTAGAAAAGAGTAGAGCAGATGTAGACTAGTAGTAGAGTAGAGTGGAGTAGGTTCGGGTAGAGAACTAGTAGGGTAGAATCGACCAAAGTAGGGTAGGTGGTGGAGTAAAGCCGGGTAGTAAAGAGTATGATAAAATAGCGAAGAGTAAAGGATAGTAGAGCATGATAGAGCAGAGAAGACGAGAGTATGTTAGGGATCATAATAAAGTAGAAGAGGATTACAGCAGCGTGGAGTAAAGTAGTGCATGGCACAGTAGGTTCGGCCAGGGTGAAGTCGGGAAAATAGGGGGAGGGCCGACTAGGGTAGACTAGAGCAGAATAGAGAGTAGGGTGGATGGTATAATAGAATCGTGCGAAACATAATAAAGTAGAAGGAGGGCCACGTCGGGGCAGGGTAGAGAAGCAATATCATCCCTTCGAGAAAATGAATCCGCCGACCCCCGACTGCCGGGGACGAAAAGGCGTGTGAGACATTTGGCTGTCCCCCTCCCCCCTTCCCCCCTCCCCGGGCGTCCAACATGCCGTTTAAGAGGTACTTAGGCGAGAATTGATGGGGGGGCGTTAAGTGAAGGGAAAAACGCTGCCCTTTTCGGACCCGAGAGGCCCTCTGTGGGGCCCTCGAGGTGTCCTTTTCTGCAGCCCTCGCTACCCCCCCATCCATTGCCCCCCCATTACGCGCCCCCCAAGGTACGAGCTCCCCTGGGGCCTCCAGGGCCTCCGAAAAGCACCCAGAGGTGCCAGATAGCCCAAGCAGCGCGCCACGATAGTCCCAGAAAGAGTCGAGACGGCCATGGTAGCCCTACGACAATCCAAGATACCTTCGAGACGGCTCACGAAGCCTCCCAAACGCCCCATGAGTGCTCCCAGATGGCTAGCGAAAAGGCCCCACGAGGCAAAAATCGTCCCAATTCCGAAGGAAAACGTACATTTTTAGCAAACCGTCTTCTGCGTCTCTTCAACGTCCAAGACGGCCCAAAGTGCTCCCCAGATGGCCCCAACACGGTCCATAAGGCCTCCAAGAGACTACCAACACTGCCCCAGAGGGCCCCAAGACGGCCCCAGGGTTCCCCTAAGACGACCCAGGGGAGCTCCGAGTGGGAATACGAACAGACATTTCGAGCCATTCCCCCAAAGATGGCCCCGAGAACCCCCAGGGGCCCCTAAGAAGCTCCCACGAGGCCTCGAAGAAGCCTCCCAGACGCCCACGACAGCCGCCAAGAAACAGAGAAAAACCATTCAACAGTTTCCGGAGCCTTCCCACACACCATGGCCCAAAAAACCTCGAACGTCTCCCTCAAGCTGGAGTCCAACACGCAGAGGAAACATCGACGACGACCTCAAGACTGCCGAGAGGAAGCCCCGAAACGCAAGAGTCGTTCCATCCCCTTGGGAACAAACTGTTTGAGCACATTCGCATTCTTGGTCTTCACAGCGTCCATGACGGCTCATGGGGTCCCCAAGATGGTTTCAAAACGGTCCAGGCAACCCCCAAGAGGGCCCCCAAACAGCCGAAGAGGCGCGCAAGATTGTTCAAGAGAGCCCCAGCAGGGCCCCA